CACACACCGCGCGAAACGTCATGTCTTTGGTCAAAGTGTAACCGTGGGTTACCTTGGGCTCGGCTCTCGATGTATAGGAAGCGGAATGCCAGGGCTGAACCTTGTTGGCGTCCTCGTGAGGTGGCTCTGATGTCTCTTGTTCTTCCTCCTCGGATTTGTCCTTGCTGCCAAACTTCTGGGCTAGCCTTTGACGAATGCTGAGACCGGACTTTGATTTCTTCTTGTCTTTTCTCGCATCATTTGATCCTGGGTTGCCTCTCGCCATTTCCTCGTCAGAGCTGGAGTCGGAAAGCTCGTCTCCGTCCCAGACATCGACCTCGACGCAGCGACATCCTCGCATCAGGACGTTCTTGTAGGCATCAATGCTGGCGTCGCTTGACAGCTGATTGCCGGTAAGGTATGTGTTGTGGCTCGAGGAGATGAAGTAGTTGGAGATGGGATGCGACTCGTCGACTGGTTGCGCAGGCTTCAGGACGCTTGCTGAGCCCGACATGAAGTAGTTGGCGAAGTTGGAGAATGAGCCGTCGGCCAGGAGCTCAGCGTTCTGTCCTGAGCATTCCTGCTCCTCGACGAGCCACTGCTGTTGCCCTTTCTTTGTCGTCAAGTCGTAGCGCGTTGTGATCTGGTCGTAGACTCGCTTGAGGTGTTGCGTAAGGAGTGGTGATAAGGCATCGACCTTGCGAGCTGCAGCAGAGGCGGATGCTGTACCACCGCCTGCTTGAAGCTCGGGGTTGTCAACCTTGGGCGTACCCAGCTTGCTGTCTTTCTTGCTGTCTTTGTCGGGTAACATCTTGTGTTGATGTTACGAATACAGCGGGGTCGAAGGGAGAATAAAGTCAGGAGGGACGGCGGAAGGGGTTTATAGGCGGCAGCAAAGTGCAGAGTGGCAGCGGTGTATGATCCAGGACGCGTATGCGTGCCTGAGTAATGGCTGAATCCAGGCAGCTCAGCTGGCTCTGAGGTGTCAGTATCTCCTTCCCAATTGCGCAATTGGTTGATGGGCGGGTATCGTTGACATACATGCAATACGCACCGAAGATGTGCGCAACTTAATTTCGCGACTACAAAGCCTTTGTAGAGTGGTAGCGGGATCTAGTTGTGAAGGTATGAGGGGTGCGGGCCGCGACGTTGACGCGGGCGCAATAGCCTCATGGTCAGCTCGTGCCTGCCTTGGCTTGCCGCATCGGCGTTTGATCATCCAATTGGTGGAGCACATGCATCGCTAATACCTGCTAGAGATTGACACGCAGCTTCCGACGTTTGCTGCATGCGCAAGGTGAATGAATGGGGGCTGCCCTGTTTGCGGCGCTGACTGAAAAGGGTCTAGCTTTGACATGTGCCTCTGCAGCCTCGCCAAGCCCACCGACGTCACTCAGGGTCCAGCATGGCCAAAGATATCATCGTCCGATGATCACTGACATTCTTGACGCAAATTACACTCGCGATGGTGAAGTCACGGAAAGAAGCAGAGAGCGAAGTCCGATCTTGGGGTTTCGATCATGTGTTTACGTGGACCGATAGCCCGTGAGTATACAATCGCTCCACTGCATTGAATGTAGACTGACTGCCTCATAGCAATGCGCACTACTCGCCACACAAGCACAGCGGGAAGACGACTCATCTCGTACTCAATGGCTCTATTACATACACATACCCTGATGACCCCGACGCGACGAAAGAAACCATAGGTCCCGGCGCTAGATGGGATGTCGATGCGAACAAGGTGCACGAAGTATGGGTAGGGAACCAAGGCTGTACATATGTCATTGGAGAATGAACTATCGGAGCACTGCGCGCATGCCCGTTCAGCATTGCTTAGCCCAAGAACCCATGCTGTCCCAAGTATTTGATAGCGTCGAGTGCCAATTGGTCTGCCTTGACCAGCTCTTGCTCTACCATACGCTCGTACAATCCCTGTAGTTTTGTTTCCTTTGGAGGGTGTTGGAATTTGCATTTGCGGAGGTAAGGGCATTTCCCGTTGCGCTTCCAATTGCTACAGACACTCGTTTCCTTCTTTGCGGCGACTGGTGCCCGCGGGGGAGGAGGAACTCGAATGACTGGTGGAGCAATCTTTGAAGATGTGGGTTCTGGCGCTTCGTCGCTGTCGTCTGAGTCGGAGTCGGACTCCTCTTCCTCTTCTTCGGAACTTGATACCACAGATGACTCTGATAACACTGAACTTTCGGCCTCAGACTCTGTCTCGCTCTCGTATCCTAAACCCAGATCCACCACGCTCGGCGCAGATTGCTTCTTTATCATGCTCTCGTGGAGTTTCTTCCGTAGAGCCGCGAGCTCTTCTTGTCTGCGGTTCTCGGCATCCCATTTTGCGCCGTCTTCCTTCTTGATCGTATTTTCCTGCCTCCTTTCGCGAGGCTTCGGTTGCTGAATGTGGTCGTCGACGTGGTGCTCTCTCGGGGGCTTGCCGCTCACTCTGCGCAAAAAGTCTATCTCGGCTGCTCGTTTCCTCGCGGCTTCCTCTGCCTTCTCCACGATCCTCTTTTGTGTGGGGAAATTTCTTCTCCTGTCCTTGATCCATGCAGCGACCTCAGCTCCTGTTTGAATGCTGATCATCTCTCCCCCGTGCTCGAACGCGAAGCCCCCGCCCTTGAGCTTCTCCGTATACGCGGCTTCTTCGTCAATGTCCTCTTCATCGCTGCTCTCATCAGGAACTGGCTGCTTCGAGAGCCCCAAATTGACCTTGCGCTTCTTGTTGTCAGGTCGCACCACGGGAGGTGGAGGCAGGGAGAAGCCGAAGCTGGGCACCTGTGGGGGTACGGCGGCTTTGGCCCTCGGTGGCTTCGAACTTGGCTGCGATTGGTTTCGCTGCTGTTGTGCGTTGTTGTTCCGGTCGTTCAGTTTTCTCTTCTGACCGGCGTGTTGAGGCGGCGAGTTTTGAGGGCTCGGTTGGTACTGATGGGACTGTGGTGACTGGGGAAAGGGGACGTTGCCTGTGCTTGTCATATGGTTGGCGTACGCTGCCATCGATTGCACGCCGGCCGGTGTCGACATGTATGACATGACCTGGGCGAGAGCGTTGGGGTCGTATTGCTGCTGTGTCGCGCCATATGTTTGAGCGGTGCCGGCGAAGGACGTATTGTTGTAGCCATTCGGGGAGGCGTTGTTGGGCGGCGCATTCGCCTGATGTTGTCCGTTGCCGGCATTGTAACCTCCTCTGTTATTTGCGCCGCCTCTGTTGTTCTGATAGCCTCCTCGCTGGCCTCCTCTGCCGCGCGCATCTCCGCGACCGCGACTCTGCCCATGACCACCTCTTAGATTGCCTCCAGAGCTGTTGAAGCCACCTCCCCGGTTTTGATTGCCGCCTCTCACGCGACCCCTATCACCGCCTCCTCGGGCAGGGCCGCCCCGTTGACTCGCGTATGGTTGCTCGCTGGATGTAGCCTTCGGCGGCGGCGGCGGCGGAGGAGGAAATCTGAAGGACGACATCGTGTTGGTTGAGAAGTCGTATTGCGCGCGTATGAAAGTGCTAAGACATTAGGTATAATAGTTACAAGAAACGAAAGATGGTATGGTGGAAATCGCGAAAACGCTGGGAAGGCTGTTGCAGGACATGCGACGCGCCTCGGGAGTCCGCAAATCCCAAAAGTTCCTTATCGATACCACTAGCGCGGCGCTAGTGGTCACCCAGAGGACTCACCATCAACTCCATTGTCTATATCCACCATGTGCACGTAGCGACCGAATCTCTGCTCTTATACCCATGAAGCCTCCAAAGCTGCGATCATGTTCATACTTGTAAGTTGCTCCCAAATCCATTGTCGCCTTCATCGCCTACGCGCTTTCGCGCTGCGCGTCAGAAAATTTGAGCGGAAGAGAAAGACGGGACATGGCTATGACTACGCGTAAAGCAGTCGCTGGCGATCGCGTCGTGCGCATGCTGTGGATCTTGTACTGATTATTGCATAGACCACGATTCAAGACTTGATACAAATCAAGCCGCAGGACTTCGAGAAGCCTAGCGCACAAGCTATCAAAGATGTAGTCAACGACAAGTACAGCAATAGGATCGTTCCCGGTATTGGCCTATGCCTCTGTATGTGGGATCTCATCTCAGCTACCGAAGGTCTGATCGGTCACGGGACTGGACTTGTCAATGTCAACAGTCAGTAATGTCGCGCCGCTTTCAAGGCCTTCACTTACATTAGTCACAGTCGAATTCCGTATGACTGTCTTCCGCCCATTCCGTGGCGAAATCATCTACGGACGGATCAAGTCATCAAACGAAGAAGGCATCATTCTTGACCTGGAATTCACATCGGAAGTCTTCGTTCCCTACCAAAATCTACCAGAGAACTCCTCCTTCTCTAAAGCTGAGATGGTGTGGATCTGGAACTCTGAAGGCACAGAACTTTTCTTCGATAAGGGCGAGCCAGTTCTGTTCAGGGTGGAGCATGAAGAGTGGTATGATCAGAGGCCTACCATCATAGAAAAGGATGAGAAGGGCGAGATTATCGAAGAGAGACCGACGGCCTGGAAGATCATCGTAGGTTTTCTGAACTTCCAATATCAAAGCATTGCTGACGTGTAACTTAGGGATCAATGGCTCAACCTGGTCTTGGTCCTACTCTATGGTGGGCTGAAGGCGGAGAAGAGGAAGAGGGCGAAGAAGGCGATGTCGACATGGAGGGTGCCGAGGAATGAGTGCCTCTGGACGGCCGCTGCTTGTTATTTTATCTAGTACACTAGAATATGGCAGATTTCACGGCCAATTCTGCTTCGTTGGAATGTCAGCACGAAGCAGAACTCGCTCTCAACCCTTCAGCCACACAGAATTTGACCTTCATTGACGCGTCTAGCCGCTACAGGAATGTTCTGCGTTGGGCAAACATCATCACACAACGCTCTGTAAGCGCAATGCAAGATGTTCCTCGCCAGTGCAGGTGCATTCTAAGCAAACAAAATCGCTTCAAATACCTGCATGCTACGCTGCCCTCGTGTACCCTTCTCAACCACACAACATTCATAACAATATCAACATCAACATGACCAGCAGTGATACAGTCGAGAATAAGATCACCAAGAAAAACGATCCAGATTCCTGGACGGATTTATTAACGCTCGATCCTGAATCTTATCGCCTCCACGAACTGACACTGCATCCCTACTACGACGACTCAAAAACGCCAGCCGACGATATACTTCAGTCCTGGGGACCTCCCGAAGCCTTCTCTATCCTAACACTATGTGCTGCTATCCAAAAGAAATGCTCTCTCACGGCCTTCAAAGCGTATCTACAAACATACGCGGGAAGTCCTGGGTTTCGAGAGACCTTGACCAACCACGGCTGGCCCCTGTTGTATTATGCGGCTGAACGCAACTCTGTTGAGATGATATCTGTTCTTCAGCAACATGGTGTCAACACTGAAGTCCCTAACAACACGTTTGCCATTCCCTTGCTAGCATACGTAGCTATTCATGGTCAAGCAGAAGCCATCGACACCAGCGAAGTCATGAAGCTTGTGCTTGCCAATGGGGCCAATCCTACGGTCATACCCATGGACATGTGGGTCAAGTTCTTGGAAACGCCCCAAGACGAGCCTGTTGCCGCGATCTCGGTTCCTAAATCTGCCTTGCAGAAGTCAGCATGGTGTACCCCGACGCTCCGGCCTGTTCTAGCTCGGGCCCTGCACCTGACCCATCGATATCTACTGTCCTTGGCTTACAAGATAGCACCGCTGCATGCCAGAGCGCGTCAAATCGCCAAAGGAAACAAGATGCTTGAGCTTACTAAGCTTCCATACTTCCTTGTTGGCCAGCGATGTGCGACGAGATTGGTCATGAAGAAGGTCTACTCACACATCGCTCATCGTACCATGAAACCACTGATCATGGCGTTCGCGGGTGCGTCTGGTCACGGCAAGACAGAACTAGCCAGATCGATGGGACAGCTTCTATCCGTGGATACCGTATCGATCGATTGCGCCAGTTGCGGTGATGTTTGGGCACTCTTCGGGTCGACTGCGGGTTGGGACCGGAATGAGGACGGGTCGAAGCTCAACAACTTCCTGACTGACCACAGTGGAAAGCGATCGGTTGTATTCCTAGACGAATTTGACAAGACTAATCAGAAAGTTCGGGACGCGCTTCTCAACATCATGCAGAGCGGTAAGTCTCCTACGTCTTTGACGATGCGCGCGCACTATGAGCTAACCTTGAGCAGGTGAGTACGAAAATCGGCGTTCCAACAACGGTGTGGACTGCAAACAGACAATATGGATCGTTGCGACGAATTTCGGTGACGACGAGATCAACACGTACTATGCGAAACACATCGAGAGGCTCAGTGAGAAGCAAAAGCACAACCTCGATATCAGACCCCTCCAAGTGAGTCTGGCACAGAAGTACGGTAGCAAGTTCGGGGTAAGTACTTCTATTTCAGCCACGCGTATCCGCTAACCAGTCTAGATGCCGTTCACCGGGCGTCTGCATCTGTTCGTCCCCTTCCTCCCATTCTCGCCCTCTGAGTGCGCGGTCGTACTCCACAAGTTCATGCTGGAATACGCGACCAGCATCCGCCAACCGATCGATCACGATCCTAGCGTCATCCGATACATCGGACATTGTAGGTTATCACTCGTTGACGACGGCAAGATATGTACCGCCTTGACTGAGAAGTACTACAGTAAGGATCTCGGTGCGCGAAGCTTGGACAACGCTGTCAGGGAGGTCAGGGACGAACTTGCGGACAAGTACAGCGAGACCGACGTCCTTGCCACGGAAGATCTTAACGACGGACCTCTTCAGACGTTCATCGTGCGTCGGTTCCTCATTGCGGATGACGTCTATGAAGTTGGAGTGTTCACGGATGGAACGAGTGGTGGGGAGGAGACCGATAGTGAAGAAGGGGCAAATGGTGACGACGAGGCGAAATGGGGAGACGGTGTTGCCGGATGGAATAAGTGGGATGAAGATGGTTCTCCTTCAGACCGCGACGAGGATTAGAAGCAAAAGATTAGCAGTATCTAGTCTTCTATTACTATCTGTTGTGTATCTACACCTTCATAGGTAGGGGTTAGATGTAGCAGGCTAATATGATTAGCTCTTGCATATGCTGTACAATGATCAACCTGGTTCGCCTGTAAGAACAGATCTCAGCGCAGTCACATATGAATGATGTGGGAGGGAGAAGCAGACTTCTAGTCAAATAGTCATCTATCAATGCTATCAAGTAGATCCAACATATGTTTCTGACGTCTCATTCTCGCTGATGATGTATTGGGTGTTGACTGTGGCGTATGCTGTGGCATTGGCCGTTCATGACTATGGCTTGCTTGAGGCGCGAGTGGAGCAACGTTTGTTGCATGATTCAAAGACACTGTGCTGCTTATCGCTGGCCGTGGACTTGAAGAGGCAGAGGACACCGACCAGGGTCTACCAGTCTCAGCCTGATCTCGTGTGGCCAGAGAAAGGTGTGTTCGTGAGGAGACAGAATGAAGCTCGAATCTCGGCGGCGCGACTGATATTTCGTTGGCGGTAGCGGTCGGCTCGCTGACCGTATGGGAGATGGCAGGTCTGTGTCTCGGGATAGCCGGTAATTCTGAGGCAAATGTTGTGTTGTATGCTTGGCTCGCAGGCAACTCATAGTTAGTCGTTTGCGAGCTGAGCCGTAGACTATGTCTAGAAGTATGAGCTGGTTCGCTACCTGGCAGCTCTACTGCCAGACTCACATCCCCCAATAACTCCGATAATGTCTCAATCCTCTTGTCTTGGAAGACATGGGGTCTTGGGGCTAGAGTCGGCGCGGTAGGATGGAACGCGTACGGATTCACTGGTCCGTCTGAGTTTGTGCCACTCATGAAGCTGTCGCCCGCCAATTCTGCTGGCGCTTGATGCGTCTCTGGATACGTATAGGCCCATGTGTCTTTTCCGACTGACTGTGTGTTATACGCGTCATCACGTACTTTACTCAGCGATGAGCGTGAGCTTCCATGAATCGGCTGATCAATACTAAGATGACGCTTGGTATCTTCGAGCGATGTTTCCGAGCGGGGACTGCGCTGTTCAGCCGATGTATATGTAGGGGGCGGACTGCTTGGTAGGCTGGGAGGCGATTGATATCGCGAGTTGTATGGCTTGTAGTCTCGGTGGTCTGGCATTACTTGCATTTGTCCACATAACGATCGTAGGGTGGACTTCACCGCATCAATGGTCGACGCATCTTGTGTGTATGGTGCTTCGGTAAAGAACGACTTCTGATACGCTGGCCACGAAGTGTTGTTGGCAGGGTAAGATGTCGTTCGATTGTTGTCCCCCAAGAAGACCTTCGGTGAGCCATCACCCAGTTGAGCGTGGCCGGTTGATCTTCTGTGCCGCGACACGATGTCATCAAAGTAGGTCGTATCTTGATACGTTGGCAACGCCCTAGTATTGGGAAGGTCCTCCAAGCGATTGAGGAAGCTGAGCACATTCGATAACTGTTGATGGCATACCATGAGTTCGCTCTTGCGGTCCGCTAGTCGTTCTCGGTCTTTGAGAATGTGTCGAAGTTTCTGAGATTGGTCCAAGATATTGCGATGCTGCTCGACACTGCCGCAGTCCACCCATCTGCCGATCTCCTCCAAGGCGGAGTTGGTATTCTCGATACAACTCCTTATCCAAGGGAGTCTCTCGGGTGTCTGTGCGAGTCTTGTCCCTACCGAGCCAACGGCCACCAAACGCTCAACCTCGGACAGGTCGTTACGAACGATTCGTATCGTTCGCAAGAAAACTTCGCTCTCGCTCCCTACATCTGCGCTACGTATCGCAAGATCAGCGAACTGAAACGCCTTGCTGACACTGGCAGATCTCGTGGGTATACCTGCTACATAGTAAGCCCTGCGCTGCGCTATGATCGTACAGCTTTCATACCTATCAGTCCGCTCATATTATGAGATTCTGACTAGTTCGAATAGTAACGGAGAAGCTCCTCAGCGAAGACTGATGCTCATGATGAAACGTAGATGCAGGTCGTGAAGAATAAGTTCACGAGCATGGCAGCTGCCGGTGGGCGGCTCATAGACCCCCAACACTCTGTAAGCAGCGAAAGCACCAACAAGGCTGAACCTGCGGGTACTGGAATACCCCTCATGCTGTGTCGCAGTGCTTCGAGAACCGATCTGCAGCTCAATGCTTCTTTCCACGGGCTGAGCTCATGCGTCTGCGCCTAAACATAGGGTCATTGCTCCGCGGGCCATGATGCCGGGCCTATACCAGATAATCGAACCCATCGACCTAAGAATATCTCACGACCGAGTGGCTGCTGCGTGTGTCGCGATGGCGAGTCGCAGATTGGACGGAGCAGAAAGGGACGCTCCTTCTCCGCGCCGGTGGCACTGGCGCTAAGACACATGGAGTTTAGTGCAAAAGCAAGCATCAACTTCGCTCTTCAGCCTCGTCCCTTCCTCCTGTGCGTTTCCGCCCGCACCCATCGCCATATCCCAGACGCATCTCAGCTGATCAATTGGTGCATTGCATACTGCATAGACTATCGATGAAACGCCATTCTCGCCCCACCACACCTCGTCCTCATGCCGCAATCTCCTTTTCCAGCAGCACGCGTGACGGCACCAGCACCTGCCCCTGGTCTCCGATAATCTGTAGCAATGCTGGGAACACTGCCAACCCCCCATGTTCGCTAGAAAACCCGAAACGGAAGACTCCGGGCTGTTCAAAGAGTAGGAACGCGAAGTTTGCCGATCGCGCAAGAATCATGTCCAGATTCTTGCTGCGCTGAGTTTCCAAGCCACTCTGCACGAAGGGCGCCACGATGGCGTCCAGGTCTGCAGCCGCACTGGAAAATCTGTGGAATCGGTCTTGCGTATTCTGGCCAACTCGACCATGCAGGAGAGCACCAGTCATGGCCTTCCATTTGCTGTACATGGCGGATTGCGCTGAGTTGTGGAGTTAGCTTCCCAATACAGACTTCGAGAGGCTGAGCTGAACATACCGGCATTTTTACCATCTTTTCCAGGAACAGCTGAGGCGAGCGGCGCAAGCTCACCCGGAAGCAAGCTCTCAACGCGTTCTCCGGTGCATCTCGAAAGCACACTCCACGCTACGATGAGGCGAAGCGTTTCGGCTCGGGTTGAGATATTCGAGAGCATACTTGCAAGTACGGAAGAGCTTGTGCCAGTTGCAATCGCCAGCTCTTTCATATTTGCCTGGTTGATGCTGGCTGCCGGGACGGGAGAAACATGGTAAAACTCTCGAACGTGGTTTTTGATGTTGTCCCGTATCTTCAAGGCTGCGTCGGTGATAGTATCATCTGATGCAGGCTGAGGTAGCATATCGTCGATATCCGTAGCATAGGCGCTCGTAACCACTGCTGGGCCTTTCTCCAATCGTCCGCCGGCGCCGCTACTGGGTACATGCGGTGGTTGCTGAGCTAGCGTTGGATTGTATCGTTTTCTCTTCTGACGGCGTGACAGGAACAGGAATGCGGCTCCTGCGATCAGAAACCCGGCGAGCAACATCCCAATCGCCACTCCGGCAACTGCACCCCCTGCAAGTCCTTCTGAAGCCGACGATGAGCCAGCAGACGCCGTCGGGATCTGAGAACCCGCGACTTTGCTTGTAGACGATTTGGGCGCAAAAGATACAGCTGCGGTTGCAGGACTTGTCGACGCCCCAGCGGTCTGTCCAGTTGCTGGCGTTGGGCAGGCCATCGTACTCAATGCCGGGTTCCATTGCGGTACACATTCGGATGTGACAGTGTTCGAATTCACTGCTGACGGGATTGTAACGGACGATGAGCTGATCGAAAGCGGTGTCGCAGTTGTAATTGTCGCTGAAGGTGTGAATGTTGACCCTGATTGGGCTACTTGTCCGCCTGTTTGAGCGGACGAGGATCCTTGGTCTTGATTCGATTTAGATGCCGTTTGCTGGGCCGTTGGCTCCTGCCTGTGTTCGAGCTTCATCTTGAAAAATGGTAATACGATGGATTCACGACTAACACGGGTATCAAGACTTGGGTTCTCTTTGAATGGAGCCAGGATGTCGTTCTATAAGACACACGCACCGCAACCCGCTAGCTTAGCCCGATCAGATATATGCGGGTTTCAGCTGCACAGCAGTAGCGCAGGCTGCGAAGCTCTGACCGCATCATTTCTTCGCCGGAAATGGTAAATGTTGACGAGGCTGATCACAGCAACATGGTGTTGAACTCTATGGTGTGGGGTCCGAATGTATTGTTGCCGAACAGTCATCAACACGAGCCTGCGTGGCGTGTTACTACTGCATATCGGTCTGTCTCACCGAATCAACATCGTGTAACACCGCCGCAAATATATTGGCACCGCATCAGACCCCACGTTGTACTTTTTATGAGAGTGGTCTCGACCCGTCGGTAACAATGAAGTGTGAGGCTGAGCCAAGACTGGCTTTCCAGTGGCTGGACAGGGAAGACCGGCATATCTCAGCCTTGCCATGGCTTGCACCGGAAGACTATACTTGATCATCATCACTACGTGTTGTTGAGCGCACACGAAGCTACATCGCCGAAATTATTATTACACATCAGACACATTTTCATCATGGAATACTCTCAGTCCCGACCGGATTTGGTCGTATCCATCGATTTCGGCATGACATGTACGTACCAATTCGTAGGTCAGTAGTATATCAGTTCTCATCGAATTCACAGGTACTGGTGTCGCATATTGCAACGTAGCGACCGGATCTGACAGTGTGCGCCATATTCAACGTTGGCCTGGGCGGACACAAGCAAACGAGAACAAGGTAAGATCGTTTGTCTCGTACTATGATGCCCGAACTAAACGATATAGGTGCCGACATTGCTTGTATACCCACAGAACTCGGAAACACCGTCATCATGGGGTTTTCTTGCCGAAACCGCACAGGAAGGTAGTGGCGCAGGTCACGAGAGTAGGGAATGGTTCAAGATCATGCTCGACGAGGACCTACTGGAACAGATGAGATCCAAGTCTAGTGAGCCGTCCAAAGTACCGCATATCCAAGAAGTAGAGAAATGGTAAGCTTGGTGCTCAAAGTCGGTCTAGCAGTGAGCTAACAATTTTCCAGGTACACGGATTATTTCAGCTACCTCTACCGTACGATCGAAGCGCGACTACGAGGCGAACTCGCAAGCCGATGGGAAGACGCGAACATCGAGTTCATCTTCTCGGTACCTACAACATGGAAACCTATACCCACTGTGGAACGATTCAGGAAGACGATATCCGCAGCTGGTTTTGGGTCGTGCGCCAGCCACACAGCATCAATAGGGCTGACGGAAGCCGAAGCGGCTGCGGTACATACAGCGCGGAGTATGCCTGGTATCTTCAAGGTGAGTCGCCTAGCAGATCATGATACTCTTGCGCAGACTATAACATTACCAACAGGAGAATGAGTTACTCTTCGTATGCGACGTAGGTGGAGGTACAACGGTGAGAAAGCATCGTAGTGCCGCCTCATGGCTAGTTCGCTGAGTGTTATAGGACCTATCGGTTTTCCGAGTGAAGAACACTCAAGGTGGCTCTCTTACTCTCGAACAGATTGATGTTGTATTCGGTAAGGTTCTCGCAGCATTACACCTGTGCTATACTGATCCCACGGAGGTGCCACCATCGGAGCCGCACAACTCGACAGTCTATACGAAAAAGCGGTGCTACAGCGATTGGAGCATGCCGATCGACTTCAGCCAATGGGACTTCAGGATATACATCAGGCGGCATGGGAAATGCGAATCTCGAAGGAATACCAAAAGTTTGTTTGCATAATCGAAGAGAGCGATGACATTCTTACTGACCGCTCAGTGCAAAATGCGACTACGGCTCGGAAGAGTCTTTGATGGATACCGAGACCTTTGCGGTGCGGGTACCCAAGCTGGACAAGGCTTACACCAATCGAGAATGCGCTCTCAGTGGCGGCGACATGTACTTCCAGCGGTCAGACTCACACGTGAGACCCATCCGTGGTATTCTCAACTGACACTCCTATAGAGACGATTTGAAAGGCTTTTTCGACACTCAGGTATCTAAGCTTTTCGAAATGATGGACAAACAGCTCTTTCGTGTGCAGCGAAAGTTTCCATCCGAACAAGTGGTACGTCAATTACACATCTCATGCTATAAGGTCACAGTCTCACCCAATCCAGTCGCATCTCGTCCTCTCCGGAGGCCTCGGCAACTCCGCATACGTTCAAAACTGTCTACGAAGCCGATACGCATTCGGCAGCACACCACACTCCAACGCACAGCATATGCAGATCCGCATCGCACCCGACCCGCAGCTTGTGGTCTGTAAAGGCAACGTAGCCGATCGTGTGCAGAAGCTCAAGTCTGGACAGTCGGTCTTAGGATGGCGATGCAGTCGCGCATCCTACGGTACCATGTGCAAGATATTGTACGACCCGTTCAATCTTGCGCACTTTGGGCTGAGGACGGAAGTAGATCCTTTAGACAAGAAGGAATACGTTATGGATTGCATCGACTGGTTTATTAAGCAGGTAAGCGCAACGCATATCTCCACTGTGATCGCAAGACGCTGACTAGGTTAGGGCGAACCGGTATCGAGCGACTTCCCGATAGTAAAAAGCTTCCAACGAAAATGCCCGCCAGCCTCATCCAAGAGCCCCAACCCACCAAGGATCTATCCCACGGAAGTTATATGCACAGAAGTCGACAAGTCTCAGTTACCCATAGTAAAGAACAATGGTAAGTGTATATCCCCAGCATTATGAAACACAATGCTAACATCCTCAGCGTGCCGCTCCATCTGCAAAATCGAATCCGACTTCTCATCCCTCCCGCTGTCACTTTTCAAACTCAAAAATCGACACTGGTGGAACTCCGGCCCGAAATACCACCGCATCAACTACGTCGTCAAAGTGAATCTCGGGCCCGCTGATGTGTCTTTCGAGCTATGGCATAACGGTGTTAAGCTTTCGAAAGACAACTCCATCAAAGTTGAGTGGCAAGCGAGTGCGCCGCCTGATCCGAATGCAACAACCATCGCGCCGGACTTCCCGATGAACAGTTTGCCGGCGGTATCGAGTTATGATGCAGCGCATCGTCGTACGGTAAGGTCGGTTGGGGATGGTGGCGGTAGGCTGGGGACGAATTGGGGGAAGTGGGAGAATAAGAATGGCGTGAGATCGCAGGTGATGTCGGCGTCGCAGAATGGGTCGAGGGTGTGGTAGGAAACAGTATTGTTTGCCTCCATGCGCATCGTGGATGGATTCGCTGAGATTCAACTTCTTGTACGCAGGTTGCGGTTTTCGCGCGTTTGTCGTTCCCGGAGCCGTGTGTTAATCATGTTTCTGTTTCTGTAGCGAAGTCGGCCAGCGCCTAGAACCGCAGGAACATGGTGTTCCAAGCATACAACATGTTTATCGCAGAGTCTCCAACGTGCCTCTCAAACCCCGCTCATTCATCATAAGATCTATCCAAATCACAGCATCGCACAACAGGAAAAGTGCCGCAACCGCCATGAACATGACCATCAGAACGACGAAAAATACGCCACAGGCGTAAAATAGCTGGCCGACTTTCTCTTGAACAGCAAAAGGCGGATCGAACAGCTGGCACCGACATATAGGACATAAATGTCCACCTGGAGATTTAACGAGCTCGGCAAGACAGTCTCGGCCCATAACGTGGTTGCAGGGAAGAAAGAGCATCCCGGCGTGAGTAGCGTTGTCATAGGGTTCCCAACAGAGGCAGCATGTGTTGTCGTTGAATGTGTCAGTCGGTACCGCCGGGAAGGTCCGCCAATTCAAGAATTCGTCTCTGGAGACGTAAAGGCCGAGGAAATTTTCGAACATGGCTGGTGTTTAGTTGGGTGGTAGGTCTGTAGAGTCCGTTTAGTACAGCACGGAATGCAAGGGCGTGTTAAGTATAGGTGAGCGGTGGGCAACCACGGATGAGGATGATGTTGGAAATGGTGGGTACCATCAAATCAGTTTTCCACGCTGGACGAATGAGAAGGGGGTTCTTTGCGCATATTGGACAACGGAGTGGTGGAACCAAGGAACATGATTATGATATAGAATATTAATTTACCTCAACGCGTAGAAGTACGCTTATTGCAGGTGAATGCCTATAAACGACGCTTAAACATTCTCGTACCTTTGCCGCTCAAAACCAACCCACTCACGATCCGAGTTGGGCTTTAAAAAGCGGCGGATTATAGACGGTCCCTCCGTATAGCAAAGCTATTACGATCTGAGCAAAGCAAAAGCGAACCAATACAACCGAGAATACGGTCGTTGAGAAGATGACACGGTCGCGCCGACTCAATAGTCCAAGGTCCATGCAACCCACGGGTACGCTAATTGCGATGGCGCAGAGAAACAGCACTGGAAGCTTCTGCCACTGCCATGGCGTCTGAAGAATCTCGTCTACTAGGTAGAAAATGCTGGTCTTCACTGCCAAGGCTCTGGAACGTCCAAATGAAATCATGAGATGAACATAGAGGGCCTGAACGATCGCGTAATTCCGCATCCCCAGTTCCA